CAATATGTACCTCTTTTTTATGACCAAAATTTTATAATAATCACCAATAAATTGGAGAATCTCCATTTATGGAGAACACCATGCAAATATTCGAGTCAGCCATGCCACGATCGAACCTTAGACAATGGCACACATGAATCAAAATGGGGGATGTTGTTGGTTGTCATTGCCTATCAAATACATAGCGCATTAATGAGTAGACAAAGTCAGTGTGTCGAAAAAAGCATAATTCATACAATTCGTCTTGTGCAGGCCTTTAATACATACATACCCTTGTTACTGGCAGCCGTCGCTTGACCGTCAGTAATAAACATATATACGTTGATTAGTTGTTCTTCTTTGTTACGTGTACGCTACACTACCCGGGTGGTTAAACGTTTGATACAAAGATAGATTTTTTTTCTGAATATCATATATAAGTGTGTATGAATAGTTGAAAGCATTCTAGACAATTTTAGTAACGTGCACTCTATATTCGGCACATTTAACCTATTGTGTTAATTAATTGAACAAAGACAATTTATGTGATTTTCAATAAATTTTTATTCTAAAACTAAATATCTTGGTCGATACTTTGAGTTTTTATAGTAGACAATATTCGATTTGTGTGATCTTTTCCTAAATTTTGGCACATATTTTAGAATATTCGCAATTGATTCAAATTTTCTTTTGTTTCTTGGTAAATTTTTTAGACAAATTTGTCGTTTTTCTCTACAATTTCGGTAAAAAAGATAATTTTTGGAATTGAATTTCGTTCTTTAATTAATATTTATGTCGCAGAATACGATAGTTGCTTTCAATTGTAAATTGAAGATCCTTTACAAAGTCATAGAGTTTGTTAGAGAACTAAAACTTGAAGATCTTGTCTTCTTCGAATTAGAGGCTCGTAGTTCTAATTTAGAAAATGTATGGAAAGCTACTAATGAGAGTTTCGAATTATGCAAAACTTATTTGGAAACGTCAGGTGCAGCCACCCAAACGGATTTTGGTGCCGTTTATTCAAAATATGAGGAAGCTAGGGAAAAATATATGGTTTGCTTAAGTCAGTTAAAAAACAGTCTGTCTGAGTCGGTCGAAAAAGTCCTCGTTGAACTCGTCTCGTAGCGGTTCATTAGCATCGTTATCGCAGCATCAACGTGATATTCCTCCAGAAGCATAGTCTCGCGATGTTGCTTTAATAAACTTGAACTCTTCCACTCATACTTCTCGTGAAGTTGGTGTTCAAGCTAGTTTCCCAATATAGTCTATTGGTAATCCTAGTGTCGTTAAGAGTTTTGTTGGTCCTCCTCTAGTAGGCAGTGTTTATAACCTAGCTTTGCCTCCTTGTGATATAGACGTTTTTGATGGTAAATTCCAAAATTGGCCCACGTTTAGAGATTTATTTAGCGCGGTCTATATAAATAATTCGCGTTTGAGCGATATTGAGCGCCTTTGTTATTTAGTGCGCAAAACCAGAGGAGAAGCTCGAGAAATCGTCTTGAGATTCTCTCTGACCAACCGCAGTTTCGGCCTAGCGTGGAATGCCTTAAAGGATGAATATGATGACCCTCGGTTACTCGTCCATAGTCATTTGAAATCTCTTTTCGCGCTTCCTGTTCTCCAAAAAGAAAGTAGCTCTGGTTTGAAAATAATTCAAAGCGGCATTAATGGGTGTCTTTCGGCGATGTCCATATATGACATTCCTACGGATCATTGGAATCCAATTATCGTTTTCATATGTCTCCAACGTTTGCCAAAAATTACACTGACACTGTGGGAGCAAAGTGTCAAAAATAAAACTGCGATTTCTTTGTGGAAGGACTTGGATAGTTTTCTGACGGAGAGAATTCGTACTCTCACTTGTCTTCACGACATGGTAGAAGTTGAACCATCACCAAAACTGATTAATCAATCTCGTTCTTGTACGTTATCTCCTCGGTAGTCATATCGCTCTTGTTGCTTGTTTTGTCCCTCGCCGAGCCATCCTCTTTTTGAATGTGAAGCGTCATCGTTTGTGTATCAACTGCTTGCGCAAGGGACATAAAATCAAAAAATTTAAAAGTTGTCGTCGGTGTTTGATTTGTAATCGTAGTCATCCCACATTGCTTCATAGAGATGGTTCAACAACAAATAGTCCAAGTCCAATGGCAACACCTCCAAGTTCGCGTTTTTCAGTTTCGGCTCCACCTTTTTGTCCCTCAAATTGTTCCCCAATTACTAATCAATCTACCGATTCAAATGCATCTCGTTCCTCCACATCGGCTGGAGATGTAGTTCGACAGGCATTTCATGCTGCGCAGAATCAATCGGTTCTTTTGGGCACAGCCATGGTGAAAGTCGTTCATCAAGGCGTATTTTGCTAGGTCGTTGATAGATCCGGCCTCTGAGTCCTCTTTCGTCACAGAAAGACTTCAAAAGAAACTTCCTGTTTATTCGTCCAATTCCACCATTTCGGGTGTTAATTGTTCACTTGCGGCTACATCAAAGAATGTTTGTAATATTGAAATCAAAAGTAGCCTGGACCATTCATTGTCCCTGAAAACTTCAGCGGTCGTGCTGAATCCGATTTCAGGAAATCTACCCTCGCTTGCGGCCACGTTCGACCTCAGAAATCGACTATCTAATGTCGTATTAGTAGATTCAAAATTGTTCAAGTCAAGTCCAGTAGATATTTTGATAGGAGCAACCTTGTACCCAGAATTATTAAAGACCACAGCTTTCGCTTTTCGTCTGGTTCTCTGCTTGCTCAAAATACCATTTTTGGTTGGATTGTAACTGGACCAATTCCGCATCGACAAAATCGCCCATTTGAAACTACGTAAAGCATTTCGTCGTGGTAAATACATACACAAAACATTTTTCGAAATTGAAATCTAGTATTGTAAAGTGGCCACGAATGTACTCGTTTTTCGGAGCAAATCCGTCACTGCGGATTCACAGACTCGGTTTTCGTAGCAAATCCGTAACTGCGGATTTCGTGGAACTAAAATCCGTAACTGCGGATGTCGTTATTGTATCGTGAAAATAGCCCATAACTGTGGGTTTTGTTTTGAACTTAAAACGTTTTCCACAAGTCCGAATCCATAACTGTGGGTTCTTGGTGACTTTGAACTATCAATTTGTTTATCGTTTACTTTCGAAACTGCTCACATGTTGCACTGTACCCACACTTTATACTATTTATCGAATTAATTTATATTGTTACACCATCCCAGGATGCTGTAAGGTGGCCGGCTAATGTTTAAGTAAGAATTGTCTTCATTTATTTGAAATTGAATCGTGGTGCACTTTGTTGCAACACTTATCGTATTGTACATTCGTTGAAATCTGTTTACTACTTCTTATTGCAACATTGATATGTCAATGTCAGATTTCAACGAATTGACGCTAAAGCTACTACCTTACTTCAGCCTGTATTGGTGATTCCGTCTTTGCTATCGGTTGAGTGTTCGTGCTCAACACTGTAAATATTACACGTTCGTGTGTAACTACTAAGGTAAATTTGGTTACCTATTGATTTGAATATCAATAAAGAATTCACATATTTAAATTGCAAGAAACTAAAACGATCGTGTTTAATTTCTATTTTTCTCACCCCCTTTATCGGAGCGCAATTTCGGCGCAATAACAGTACATATATTCATAATCAGCACATAATTCTAAGTTGATTAAAATAAATCCGTCTGTCTGTTTGTCTTTAAATCATGATACAGCCCAGAGAATTTGTATTGTGTCTAGGATGGTTGTTATTGAAAATGAGATATATTGGTCTACGTTTTGGTATAGTCTACATACAACGGTACCTCCCGATGCCTAACGATATTCGGTATTTTGATGATTTTCGTTACATTTTTTACGGATTTGTCTAAAAATTGGTATATGTAGGTCATAATGGGTTCTAGTTTTACAGGCGAAAATTTGTATGTATAGGTCCACGTTTTCGTATAGCTCACATATAACGGTACCCCCGATATTATATTTGTCACATTTTTTAAGGATTTGTCTAAAAATTGGTATTTGTTGGGTATAATGGATTCTAGCTCGTGTGGCGACACATTGAAGGTATAGGTCCACGTTTTGGTATAGACATACAACGGTACCTCCCGATATTCGGTATTTTGAAGATTTTTGCCAAATTTTCACGGATTTGTCTAAAAATTGGTCTTTGTTGGTCATGATGAGTTCTTGCTCCGGTGGCGAAACATTGTATGTATCCACATTGTTGCATAGCCCCATATAACGGTATAATGCTAGTCACACTTACACACATAATTGTTTCAAATTAGGTATTTTAGAAGATGTGATAGATGAGAATCCTTTAAGTATAAACTTGCCTATAGAAGTTCCCGTTTTGGAATGGCCCCCATATAACGGCCTCACTTACTTTGTTTTTTTTTTTATAAATTTGACTGCGTTATGCAAACGGTCTTGCTGGTATATGAAGTTTAAAATAAAACAAGCTGGAATTCAGATACTTTAATATAAAAATGTTTCCTCTACCCTAAGATGTTTCCTCTATTTTATTTACCATCACGAAAACATTAGCTTCTCACACAGATATAAGCAGCTGTTATGACGCCATCTATCGAACCGTTGCTAGTCAGTCCTACCTTTGAATTATCCCATGAAAAGAGATTTAGATATATATATAATATAATATATTATATAATATATAATTTTATGGTACAAAAAGGAACATTAATTTGCATGCATATTGACTTTGTGGGTAAGAGTCCTCGCTCTTTTGTTTTATCCTTATTACTAAAGTGGTGAAAATAAAAGGTATATCTGGTTACTTTCCATGCAATAATTTTCAAGCAACTTATTTTTGAGAGAAAGAGGTAGTTCTACTCTTTTTTGCAAGAAAACTGTGATAAGTAAATAGGCGGAATCCCTGCAAAAACTTGCAAACAATCAGCAGATTCATCATAAAAAAGCAATTTGTCCGCAAATTAAAGGAATTTAGAACACATGAATAGAAAAACAAAACAAGGTTTATTTGCACTACTGGCAGCACTTACCTATTTTGTTTCGCTATTGAGCCCGATAAGGAGTATGTTGGCCGAACCGTACTCACCCTGATCCGAAGTTCGGCTTTCCCTCTCGTGGGCGCAAGTAGTTATCCTCATTCCTGTCTACTCTAATGTCGGGGCCCAACCCTCTGTACGAAGATATGTATTTTGAAGGTTTGAAGGTATTATGGTCCGTATGTGTTCTTTTTCCACTTATGGAAGTAGAATTCATCCCAACAGCACATAACAGCTTGAATGTTCCTAGCTTCTCAGCTTTGCCTGGTGTAAGGCCAGAGAAGGCAACGACTTTTTCTTCAGTGGGGTGCCGCTCTGCACTCATTTGTTTTATATTATAGTTTTTTAGGCGTCAAGTTACGAAGGGACTGAGGTCGAGCGCAACCTGTGGATGCGTCCGATAGCTATCAGCAATGTTCGCCCAAGGCGAATATACGGAAAGTCCCTTCAGCTACTCAAACATTGATTGATAGTAGTGGACGCATGAACCCTAGTTGCTTTTAATTTTGTTAATCAATTTAGAGGTTACGAAGTTGTTGTTGAAATTGGAATGATAAAACTAAGATTCACTTCTTATGGCGGAAAATATAAAAACTAAAAAGAACAAAAATATTCACAATTAGTTTATTTCATCAAAATTCAAACATCAATATTTGTAAAATATAATTCTTGTATCAAGTAGTTGTTACATTTCTAACATTTTATTTACATACAGAATCTTCATATACTGTAACGAATATTCATAATTTTAACGAAAAGAAAATTATCCATATTTGTTATTTTTGTTTTATTATTTATCAATCGATCCTGGTTTACGACGGCAAAACCTTATAAAACGGATTAATGGATTGGCACGTATGGAGAATCACTTTCAGTTAGGTCATAATCTATGACCTAAATTCTTAAAGCGAATACCATACTGAGAAATTGTTCATAGTGGATAGTTATGACTCCGTCCATATCAGAATCGTGTTGACGAAAAGCTGATGTCAGCGTCTGAAATTAAACAAAATAGGTTTTTTATAATTTAAAAGCTTTGTTCTGGTTAATTTCTCTGTGCAATGAGGTTTTGGGGTGGAGACCTAATTATTCGATTTTCATAATGCCTGAGATTTTTTTTGGGAAAATGTCTTGTTTTAAATTCTTTCTGTAATTGCATTTCATAAGTAATTGGCTTTTAGCTTTTTAACTTTTTTCATTGTTAATTTGCGAATAAACTTATTAAATCCATTTGAATGTTGTTTTTATTAAATTTTCAAATTTTGTTTTTTAAGCAGTGTAATTTTGATTTTTGGGGGACTGAGGTTGGATAAAAAACATTTGTAGATATGCTGCCATTGTGGTAGTAGCAGAACAGTTGATATTTTTATTTGACGCAAACTAAAGCGAACTATCCCTGCAAGCATTTTAAGCCTATGTTTTAAGCCCATTTTTTCGATGTACGTGCTTAATCATTCAAAAATTATGATGATTAACCGCACAAAATTAAACTCAAAACTTGGATTTGTTAAAATCCAATGTTAAATCGAAATATCTTGGCATACAACACTGCTTTTTTGTTCCTAATGCAACTATTGTAGTTTGTGCGGAAATTGGCAACTCTGTTCGTATAACGCTTATTTACATTTAAAATTAGCTGAAAACAAACTTAAGTCTTTGAAAAAAGATATAGAAGTTATTGAAAAAATAAAATGGATGCTGTAAAGAATGAAAGGTATGCTCTTAATTAAACATAAATTGTAAACAATATGTTTGATAATAATTTGTCTGCTTATATTTCGCAGAAAACAAAAACAAACTTTTAAGGTCACTATCTGTAAAAAAGTAGACAGGTTAGCAATGGTTTCACACCGGCTACAGAAACTATATCAGCCATCAATCCCAATCCCACGGCGGTCGGTTTTATGTACCGGATTGACTCGGAGGCATATTTCTCCGACCAGGGGCCGCCAACCCAGCAAATACATGTTCGTGTTCGTCCATTTTTCTGATGTGGGAGCAACATCACCCGGAATGTTTGCTCCGTATTCTCCTTGTCCGAGCAGGGATCGAGACCAACCCCGGACCATGGTTCTGCTCCGTTTGTCGTAATCGCATCCACCACAGATCGGTTTCGGTGAAATGCAATGGATGCATGGAGTGGGTGCATTTCCGGAATTGTTCCGGCCTAAACTGGGTACAGGAGTATAGCGATAGGGACTACATTGCTTCCTGCTGCGTCAATGTAGACCCCAGTGAGTCTTCATCTTCGGGGTCCTCATCGTCGTCGCAATATGAGACTCCCCCGCAATCTCCTCAACAGCAATCTACGCAGCGGTTGACGCCACACATTGCTGTTCAGGTTCCGGATAATGCATCATTTCTCCAATTTAATTCTGATGGTCTCAGAGGTAAGATCAACGAAATTGTAAGCTTTATGAGTCGGAAGAACATCAAGGTCGCAGCGATCCAGGAAACGAAGCAGAGTCCCACCTGCAGGCTTCAAAGTTGTGATGGATATAACGTACTGAGGAAGGATCGCTCCAGAGGTGGAGGTGGAGAATTAGCGTTCCTATTGCACCACTCTGTCCAGTACAGACCTATCTCGCCTGAGCTTGACTCTAGTGACCCGTACATGGAATGTATGGGGGTAGCGGTCAAGTGTGGAACCGCCGAGATAGAGGTGCTCAACGTGTACATTCCGCCGTTAAATAGCTGTGCCCCATGTTATATGCCTAATATCAGTTCACTACTGGTAGGCAATAACCGTCTGGTGCTAGGGGATTTCAATGCCCATCATGAATTATGACATTCCGTCCTAGGTAATGACCAGAGAGGCATGGCGCTGGCTGAGCAAATTGATAGCTCCACGTTTTGCACAGTGAATGAGGACGCGCCCACCAGAATAAGGGGAGACTGCCACAGTTCTCCGGACATATCCATCGTGTCCCCACGTCTGACGAATGACGTAACTTGGCAATCAGATATCTCTCTAGGCTCAGACCAACTCCCCATTATTATCGGGAATTTACTCTGGAGGTAAACAAATTAGTAGGTGAGCATAAGCGGAAAAGTGGTTTGAACATCTGAAGCATTGCAACATCGGTACCGGAACGAGTAAATTGTGGGCAACGGTTAAGTCGCTTTCGAACCCCGGAAAAAAGGACGATCGGACATCTGTCTCATTCAACGGCGTAGAAGTGACAGATCCGAAGAGGTGCGCGTGTTGTTTTAACCGGCAGTTTGTAGAGCACCCCGAGAGTGACAGGGCGAAGAAAAGGATCCTACGCCGTGTACGATCCCTTCCAGCCGAGGAGGTACCACCACAATTTACGTTGGCAGATGTTGCACAGGTCATCAGAAGCGCAAAGTCATCCAAAGCGCTTGGTCCTGACGGAATCTCAATGGTGATGTTGAATCAACTGGATGATCCAGGAGTTGAGTATCTTAAAAAACTTCTCAATCTGTCGTTAGCCACCTTAGTAGTTCCCGATGCCTGGAAAATGGGCAGGGTGGTCCCGCTACTGAAGCCAGGCAAGGATGCCGGCAAAAGTGATTCATACAGGCCGATATCACTTTTGTCATCAGTAGCAAAGACGCTTGAGGCTATACTCCTCCCCAGCATAAGAGAGTGTTTCCCAGTAGCCGATCATCAACACTGATTCCGGAAATTGCATAGCACAACAACAGCTTTACACGCCATTTCCACACATGTCAGTAGAGGTCTCAACCAGAACAGGCCGTGCGATAGAACAGTTATGGTGGCACTTGATTTATCAAAAGCCTTTGATACAGTCAATCATGCCACACTGTTCGAGGACATTGAACGCACCACCCTCCGGCCAAGTTTGAAACGTTGGATAGTAAACTACATTTGTGGACGCCAGTCGTACGTGGAATTCAGAAACAAGAAGTCGAGCATCCGGAGATATCACCCCCCAGGGAGTTCCCCAAGGTGGGGTGATATCTCCGGAACTGTTTAACCTCTACCTTTCTGAAATTCCACGCCCTCCAGACGGCATAGAGATTATTACGTACGCAGATGATTGTACGCTCGTGGCGTCCGGACCAATTATTGATGACATTTGCGATCGGTTGAACGCTTACCTTGTTGATCTTACCGCCTTTTTCACTGCGAGGAATATGAAGATATCCGCCACTAAGTCGACGGCCACACTTTTCACCACATGTACTGCGGAGATGGGGCTATCCTTGAATGTGCAGGTCGATGGTGCTATTATTCCGACCACCAACTACCCCAAGGTACTAGGGGTCACATTCGATAGCCTCTTTAAGTCGTCCGCGCATACCACAGCTATCTGCGACAAGATTAGAAGTAGGAACAAGGTCCTCAAGTCTCTGGCTGGCAGTACTTGGGGAGCAGATAAGGAAACCTTGTTGACCTCTTATAACGCGATAGGTCGGTCTGTGGTAAACTATGCGGCTCCGGTGTGGTCCGCTAACGTCAGTGCTACGCAGTGGAAAAATGTTCAGTCCTGCCAGAATGCCGCCCTTAGAACCGCAACAGGGTGCCTTCTCATGACACCTGTCGATCACCTACATGAGGAGGCGAAGGTCTTACCGGTGCGACAGCATAACAAAATGCTGTCAATGCAATACCTGCTTGGGTGTTATAGACAAAGCCATCCAAATCACCATCTTGTGGATAGGCAACCTCCGCCCAGGCACGTTAGGAAAGACCTTCATGATCTAGAGAGAGAGGTACAGAGGTATAAGAGAGAGCCTCTAGATCAACAGGCCTATCAAGCGGGACTGAATAGTATTCACTCTAATGCGGTCTCAGAAGCCATTGAAGGATATAGAGTGAATACTGTGCTAGGAGACCATCCCCCTCCCGTCGCAGCTGAAGAACGAGAGCTGCCCCGACAAACCCGAGTAGTCTTGGCTCAATTACGATCCGGATGGTGCAGCCGCCTAAATTCTGCCCAGCATGTGGCACAGGCCCACATGACACGCTGCACCTATTTCGCTGCCCAGCCAAGCCTACTCACCTAACTCCAGTCTCGTTATGGACACAATCCATACAGGTTGCATCCTTTTTGAGACTGGACTCAGAGGCAAAACCTGATTGAACTGAGTCAGGAAATGGAAACCGAACGAACACAGATGTATGCGCTGCTACAACAACAACATCAGCCATTGAATAAAATAAGAAAGAAGTTACAGAAGAAAAACACAGATTAGGAAACATAAATTAACAAAGGGACATATTCTACAACCGCTGCTCAGTGGCTGTGTCTACCGTACCGCATAGGGAATTGTAGATCAAATGCCAGTTGATCAAGCAGCTTATTAATTTAAACTTTCAATGTAATATTTACAACTACACAAAGACGAGTTCTATTGGTTCCGATTAGGGAATTTTAAGGGTCCGAAATTACGAGTTCTACGAGAAGGAACATTATGGTTTACTTCACCTATAAGAAATGTAGAATCAATGAGATCGCGTAATAATTTCAAGTGATGAAAATCAATTAACAAAAACCAACTCTCTTAGGGTGGAAGAGCTTCGGAAGTGTTCCAGTTTAAGCCACGTAAAGCGAAAAATAACAAGTAAAAAAACATTAAGTTCGGCCGGGCCGAACTTCCTTTACCGTAGGGTAAAGGAAACATTTTAATATAAAAGTATCTGAATTCAAGCGTGTTTCATTTTAAACTTCGTATATCATTTAGACCGTTTGGATAATGCAGTTAAACTTATCAAAAAACCATAAAGTGAGTGAATGAGGCCGTTATATGAGGCTACACCAAAACGGGAACTTCTATGGACAAATTTGTATGTATGAAAAAATGACTAGGATTATTAAAACACCTAATATCGGTGGGTATCGTAATATGTGCGCAATAGGAAAACGTGGAACTAAATGTTCAATGTTCTGCCACCGAGCTAGAACCCATTATGAACTATAAATATCAATTTTTAGACAAATCCGTGAAAAATGTGGCAAAAATCATTAACATATCGAATATCGCAGATACCGTTATATGAGGGCTAT